AAGGAAGTATCGAGCGGGAGCCGTTGCTGTCGTAGCTTGGCCTCCAAGGGCCCACATTTAGGGTCAAGCCAAAGCTCGAGCGGGAGCCCCGTTTTCAGCGAACATGTAGCCGGCGTCGAGGCGAGAGCGCGCGGAACCGTTTCCCGAGATCAGCAATATCTTTTCATTAGAAATGAATAACAAACAACAACAGCAAACAAGCATAACAACATTAAACACACCACGACCAACAACAACAACAACAACAACAACACCAACAACATCAACACCAACAACAGCAACATCAACAGCAGCAACAATAACAGCAGCACCAGCAACAGCAACAGCAACAGCAACACCAACATCAATCATTTTAAGACTGTTCGCCCGTGTCTGCTCGAGTGTCCAATAACGCGTATTTCCCAAATCCTCGATACCCGCCCTCTTCGTCTTCGATCGTGCCCCTTTGGGTGTGTGTGTATTTCTTCCCTGCAGGTCGGGCCCCGGCAAGCGGCGGGGCGGCCGCGGACCGTCGGTCTGGCCAGCGGCAACGCTGATCGGCGGAAGCCCGACCCCAAGAGGGACGGACAAGGGACCGACCACGACGACGACGCCGGCGAAGACGACGACAGCGACGACAACGACGACGACGACGAGCGAAAGCGAGAGCGAAAACGAGAGCGACAGCGGGGCCACGAAGGGCGGCAAGGAGGGGGCCACGAAGGGAGACAGCGGGGCCACAAAGGGCATGCGTATGGGGCCACAAAGGGCGCGAACGAACGGGAGCCACGAACGGCAGATAATGCGCGGCCACAGAGGGTAACGACGGGGCCACTGAGGGTAGCGACGGGGCCACGTAGGGCAGGGAGGGGGCCACGAAGGGCAGAATTACGTATCTGAGGGCAGCAACGGGGCCACGAAGGACAGCTAGGGGGCAAAAAAAGGCGACAGCGGGGCCACGAAGGGCATGCCCTCAAGGGCCGCCAGGCCGAACCGGGGCGCAGGCCCTGGCCCCCAAAAAGGCGCCCGCTGGCAGCGAGGGTGCCACATTGGGCCTATGCAACGGGGCCGCGAAGGGCAGCGACGGGGCAACGAAGGGGCGCATCAGGACCACGAAGGGCTGCAAAGGGGCCACGAATCGCTGCAACGGGGCCTCAGAAGACAGCGAAGGGGCCACGGAGGGCTGCAACGGGGCCACGAAGCGGGGCCACGAAGGGCAGCGAGGGGGCCACGAAAGGCTGCGACGGGGCCGCGAAGGGCAGCAACGGGGCCACGAAGGGCTACAACGGGGCCACGAAAGGCAGCGAGGGGCCACGAAAGGCTGCAACGGGGCCACGAAAGGCAGCGAGGGGGCCACGAAGGGCTGCAACGGGGCCACGAAGGGCAGCGAGGGGGCAACGAAGGGCAGCGGGGAGCCACGAAGGGCAGCAAGGGGGCAACGAAGGGCTGCAGCGGGGCAACGAAGGGCAGCGAGATCCCGATTCCTAAGAAAGCTGCGAAGGAGTCCTAAGCGTGAGCGCAAGTCTTTGGTGCCTGAGTGTCGGGAGCGCGGCGCTTGGGTAAATTGCGGGGAATTGCCACGCAAGAGCGCGATTCTGTAGTAAATTGCACGCGAGTCTCCAGCGAGAGCGCGGCTCCAGAGCGCCGAGAGAGCGGTCCCGTTATAAAGCGTAAGGAAGTCCCACGCGAGAGCGCGATTCCTGCGTAAAATGCGAGGAAATCTCAGGCGGGAGCTGGGGTCCTGGGTAAATTGTGAAGTTTCAGGCGGGAGCTTGGGCGCCCGAGTTATCCGGGGTAACTCGGGTCCGGGGTAACTCGGGTTTGGATTCCCGAAAATGAAACCCGAGTTACCCCTGACCCGAGTTACCCCTGATGATTCGGGGCTCTGGACGCCCGAGTTATCCGGGGTAACTCGGGTCCGGGGTAACTCGGGTTCGGCTTCCCGAAAAACGAACCCGAGTTAGCCCTGACCCGAGTTACCCCTGATGACTCGGGGCTCTGAGGAGCCGTTGTTGCTGTAATCCGGGGGCCAGCAACCAAGTTTGCCGACTGAAAAGAATCGGGTGCGAACCCCGGAAGAGGCACTCCAATTGAAATGGTTTTTTTGTGCCCGGACAGAACACCTGGGCGACACAACCCGAAGGGAGGTGCCCAAGGTGCCTGCGTGAATTCACACGCAGTCGGACCTCGCAACACGAACGGCGGCACGGACCGCCCCCGGCGTTATCCGCGCCGCCGTTGCGAGGTGCCTCGAGATGCCACCCCGAGACACGCCCACCGGCACCACCCCCACTTGGCCGCCGGCCTCAAGCAGCGGAGGCCCCGCTGCCCAAGGACTTACGTTCCCGCGCCCCCCAAGTCGGGGGACCCCTTCGAGTAACCCCATCGGGCCTCTCAGGGGTGGTACGGCGGGCCCACACCTACTGTGGCTGGCCAACCACAGGGCAAGAGTCTCTCCCACAGCCACGTCGAGCAGTGGAGACGAGCGGGCTGCCAACGCGCCTGTTTTTCTGGGACGCCACAAAGGCACCCAGCGGCACAGGTGCCTCAATTGAAATGGCACCATGGCCATCGGAGGAAGGGGACCCACAATACTTATTCTGCAATAGTGACACGTCAACAACAACATCAACAACAACACACAAACCACCAACAACACCACCAACACCACCAACGGCAACAACAGCAACAACAGCAACAGCCAACACCACCAACAGCAACAACAGCAACAACAGCAGCAGCACCACCACCACCACCAACAGCAAGAACAGCAACAACAACAGCAACACAAGCATCAACAGGAGCATAACAACAACACCAGCAACAATAACGGCGTTAACAACAACAACACCGACGACAACAACAATAACGACAACAACACCAACAACAAGAACAACGAGTCACGCGCGATGCTTCCACACGAAGCAAGCGACCATCATGATAACCATCCCTATCAGGGGCAGGATCCACTATTCCACTCCCAGATCTCCCGCCCAATGAGGTCTTGCAAACACCTCCTTCGAGGAATTTCAACATATCCCGCCTCGAAAACGCATGCCCGCGACTTGCTGCGCCGATGCGAGACCGCCAGTGGAGCCCCAGCCCAGGGTAAAGCACAAGGAAGTATCGAGCGACAGGATTGCCTTGGTGGGGGCAAGGACCTGGCCCTGAATAGAAAGGGAGGAAGTCTCGAGCAGGGCCGCTGTTGTTGCTGGGAGTGGCGCCAATGCTGAAGAGAGCAGGGCGCTAGTCCTGCGTAAAAACAAAACGAACTATCAAGCGGGAACGCTCGTTTTGTTGGGACGGCGGTTGTCGGCGGCGAGGAGAAACACCGCCTTGAGTAAGAAGGGAGGGAGTCTTGAGCGGGAGCCGTGGATTTGTCGGGACGGGGGCTGTCGGCGGCGAGGACCAGCACCGTCCTTAGGAAACAGGAAGGAAGTCTCGAGCGGGAGCGTTGTTCTTGTTGGGAGCGGCGCCAATTCAAAAGAGAGTAGGCCGCCAATCCAGCATAAAGCGGGAGGAAGTCTGCGGCGTAAGCGCTGGTTTTGTCGGGACGGCGGTTTTCGGCGGCGAGGAGGGGCACCGCCTTGAGTAGAAAAGGGAGGAAGTCTCGAGCGGGACCGTTGTTGTTGCTGTGGGCGGCGCCGATGAGAGAAAGAGTAGAGCGCCAGTCCAGCGTAAAACGGGAGGAAGTCTCGAGCGGTAGCGCTGGTTCTGTCGGGACGGCTGCTTTCGGCGGCGAGCAAGAGCACCGGCCCTGAGCAAAAAAGGAGGAATGCTCGAGCGGGAGCGTTGTTGCTGTTGGGGGGGTCAGTTTGGGCGCCCCCCACAAACCGCTCGAGCGTCAGCCTCATTTGCAATGAACATGTAATTAGCCGGCGCCGAGGCAAGAGCGCCTAGGCGCCTGGGGGCCTGGGGGGGTCCAACAATAATAATCGTTGCGCAATTCACACTCAACAACAACAACAACAACAACAACAACAACAACAACAACAACAACAACAACAACAACAACCACAGCAACAGCAACAGCAACAGCAACAGCAACAGCAACAGCAACAGCAGCAGCAGCAGCAGCAACAACAACAACAGCAACAGTTGCGCCGGCCATCGGCCAAGGCTCCTCGCGCTCTCCTGCCCGGACGGGGCGGCGTCACTCCCGGCCCGCGCAGGTGCAAGACGAAGGCCAGGGCTCCCTGAGCCAGGACACTACTGACCGATCTGCTGCTCGGTGTTAATTTTGGGGAGAAAGCTCCGACACTTGAACCCTGCGCAATCCGTCGCTGCATCCAGAAAAACGAGAGGCGACACCAACACCACCAGGGCGAGGAGGTGCGAAGAGCAGAGGGGGGCCTTCCCGGTGGTGTGGTCCGCCCTTCTCGCTCGAGAGGTCCCCAGCCCCCCGCTCGGGGAGGCATCGTGGACCTCCTCGTTGGAGGTGGCCACCCCTGCCGGTGTTGGTGTCGCATCTCCTCCCTCACAAGCCTCTCGGGATTGAGGGAGGGAGGCACCAACTATACACCAACACCGATCCTGGCCACGATCACCCTGGGCCCAGGATCGGTGTATACGCCCTCCTGCCTTGGGCAAGAAGGCATATACACCGATCCTGGGCCCAGGGTGATCCTGCGCCAGGATCGGTGTTGGTGTATAGTTGGTGCCCTCCGAAGGGAGGGAGGGAGGGAGGGTGAGGAGGGGTACCGTACACCCTCGCGGCCTGCGCGGCGGCAGCCCGTGACCCAGGCCGAGGGGAGATCGCGCAAGGCCGGGACGCTGCACAGAGAGGGGGAGCAGGACGAAGGAAGGGAAGGAAGAGGGGGAGCACGACGAAGGGGAGGAAGAGGATGAAAAGGAAGAAGAGGAAGGGGAGGAGGAGGAAGAAGAAGAAAAAGAAAACGAGCAATAGAGGGGGAAGGACGACGAGGAGGAAGGGGCGGAGGCAGGGCAAAGACGGAGTCGAGCTCCTCCATCGCGGTGGAGGAGGAATTCAGGTCCGATGGGGGCGGCTGTGCCAGGGAGGCCCTGCGGATAGGGGTTGCCCTTCAGGTAGGGCTTCGCGAACGCCGTGTCCACCATCTGCGGGTAGAGCGTGAGGGCCGCGACGTTGGCCTGGCGGGGGGGCCGCGATCGGGTGGGGCCGGCTGCCCGCCGGCCGCGCCGTCGCGGCAGCACCCGGGAGCGTGATGGGGAAGGTCCGGTGATGGGCCTGTCCTCCACCACCAGCAGAAGTTGGAGGGGGAGGAGGTCCTCCTCCTCCTCCTCCTCCTCCTCATCCTCTTCTTCGTCCTCCTCCTCCTCGTCCTCCTCCTTCCCCCCTCCAACTTGTGGTGGTGGTGGAAAACACGCCCATCATCCTGGAAGCCTCGCACGGCAACCTAAGGCCCGACGAAACGTCGGAGTCGCGTCGGATCTACGCCAGGCTCGCGTCGGATGACTTCGGATGTACCTCCGACTTGCGTCGGGCGCACTCGTCGGACTCACGTCGGGCTTGCGTCGGAGTATCGCCTCGCGAACGTCGGCCCTTATCTTACGAAGAGCACGTGTGGACTAGATGATAGCACTGTTGCGCGCTGCGCGAGGCCTACATGATCTCCTCACAAGAAACGAAAAACGCGGCGGGCATCCTTGGTGCCCGTCTCCCCGACCTTCTCGAGGAGACACACCCAAAATTAACCCCTGGGCCGTTCTGGTTGGGATGCAGGCGAGCTTTTAGGCAGCCCCGACGGGCCTGTGGGCCTACAACGGGATGTCTCAACAGCACTCTGGAAGGTCATGGGATTAACCCCTGCTCCCCCCCCCCCTCCCGGGGCCTGTCGGAGGCCCCTGCCGACCCACGACGCGGGGAGGGGCGGCAGTGGGAGGAGCGAGAGCAGGAGCCGGTGTTGGAGGATGAGGTAAACCCGAGGTGTGCATTAGCGATGCGCCCCAGGTTCGCGCTTGTCCTCCTCCTCCTCCTCCTCCTCCTCCTCCTCCTCCTCCTTCTCCTCCTGAACCCCCTAAGCTCGAGCTTCCTCCTCCTCCTCCTCCTCCTCCTCCTCCTCCTCCTCCTCCTCCTGAACCCCCTAAGCTCGAACTTCCTCCTCCTCCTTCTCCTCCTCTTCCCCGCTTCCTCCTCCTCCTTCTCCTCCACTCCTTCTCTTATATATATATATGTATATATACATATAAATAACTCCTCCAAGTCTCACTCCGAGGCCAATTTTTAGGGCGGGCCGGGCGTTTCCGGTGAGACTTCCTCACCATTTATGACTCTGAAGCTTATAAAGTGGCAACCACTTCGCAGATAGAGGTCGGGTGGTTTTCAAAATGTGGCTCTCGCCTTAGCGCCGCGCGCATTCCTTTTGAAAAATGTCACACGAACTTCACGGATTGAGAGCGGGTGGTTTTCAAAATGTGGCTCTCGCCTGAGCGCAACGCATACTCGTTTTAAACAGTGACAAGAGATTCACATATTGAGGGCGGGTTGTATTCGAAGTGTGGCTCTCGCCTCAGCGCAGCGCACATTCGTCGTCAACAATCACAAACGTTTCACGGATTGAGGGCGGGTCGTCTTCAAAATGTGGCTCTCGCATTAGCGCCGCGCACATTCGTATTAACAATACAAGGACATTCACGGATTGGGGGTGTTTTTTTTCGAATTGTGGCTCTCGCCTTCGCGCCGCGCACATGGAGGGCCCCAAAACAGGCCAAGAAAATCCCAGGAGGCCGCCCACATGGTCGAACAGGGCCCAGAGTCACCCAAAGATCCGGCCAAGACGTTCAAGACGGTCTCAAGACTGCCCAATATTCCCCCAAGACGACCCCAGAGGCCTCCAAGAGGCCTTCCAAAAGAGCCCCCAGAGGCAGCAATCATCATTGTTTCATCGCCATCGTCTGAATGTTCGCTCGCGCAGCCTTCTTGAAAGGTAGTCTGGCGGTCCATGTTGAAAACGAACGTCTTGCTACACAGTCAGCGACAAAAATCATTGATGTCCGCTTGTGTTTGACGGATTTGGGGGTTCGCGCCTTTTCGGCTTCCCGATGCTCGAAGACGGCTCAGGAGGCCCCAAGATCGGCCCCGACAACCCATAGGGAGCCCACAAAGGACGTACGCGCCCAACCATGTACATGAACACGGCCCCTCGATCCGCGAGACTGGCCCCGTTATACGGACATGTGCGCAATGCGCACTCTCGAAACCAGCGTGGATTCGTGTGCGTGTACGTCCCTATTTCGCTCCTGATAAAACAGGGCTGGGATCGGGATAAATCGCTCCAGAGCGTTCCGGAGCGCTCTCAGAGCGTTCCGGAACGCTCTGGGGCGGCCGCGGCGCCCAATACATCCTCCAAACCCGCAGATTCTCAGAGATTTCGAGTTACCCCGATCCGATTTTGTCCCGATCTTCGCGTCGTTTGACCTGAACCCGGGAGGCCTCCAAGAGAGCCCCCGCACGGCCCCAGAGGGCCCCCCGTGCGGCCCGGGAGGCCTCCGCGGCGGCCCACGAGGCCTCCAAGAGCGGGCCGCGGACGGGGGACGCGACCGGACACTGCGAGCCCCGGGGCTCGCAAGGCCCTCGGGAGGCCCCACGAGGCCCCCACGAAGCTCCAAGGACGCCTCTCCTCGTCCTCCTCGTCCCCCTCTCCCTCCACGTCCTCCTCGACCTCCTCGTCCTCCTCGACCTCCTCTCCCTCCTCGGCCTCCTCTCCCTCCTCGACCTCTTCGTCCTCCTCTCCCTCCACGTCCTCCTCGTCCTCAAGGGGCCCCCAGCCAAGAGGCTCGCAGGAGGCCTCGAACTGTCCCCCAGAGGCCCCCGAGGGCGACCCGAAGAGGCCTCGGGGCGAATCCCCGAGGGCTCTGACCCACGATCCAGACACGGTGGCGGGATGGGCCGGAGACTATTCGATTTGGAGAACAGCATGTGCTGGGTCCGTGTGAGTACTGCACGGGTGGATAAGGCGTTGAAGCGAGAGCCACACGCAGATAACGGTACGCGAATGATATGTGCAACCGCTGGCAGAGATCTTGACCTCTTGAATCATAGACTGTAGTGTGAAGAGATCTCGAATGACAGGTCCAGCGCTCAGTACCGACACGCCTCGTGGCGCAACGAGGGTGAGCTATCCATAAGCAAGAAAGCCGCGATGCTGGTCCCAGATTGGGCCCAATGAATACGTGCTGACTCCCGGCTCGGACTCCTCCTGCGCGCCGCCCCCCTCATCCGCCTCCCTCCCTTCCTCCCTCCCTCCCTCCCTTCGAGCATCTCGCTTCCGAATTCCAGCCGCGGCACGGGAACCACAACAAGAGAGAAACGTTTTGCCTCGGCGGACGTTCTCCTGGACGGGAGGCTCTCCTGAGCCCTCCCCGTTCTGCACCAGGCCCGTCGGGGGGGAGCTGGACGGACCTGCTGCCACTCCCCGCTCACCCTTCGGGGATCTTCTGACCCGGGTCAGCCCAGACCCGGGTCAGCAGGAAACCCAAAACTGCAATGTAGGACAAAAAAAAAACTGCAACGCAGGTCTTCGCAAACCCGGGTCAGCCAAGATGTGTGGCCGCCTCGCGGCCACGAGCGGCTCGCTAACCCGGGTCAGCCAGAGGGGGTCTTCGCAGGAACCTGCAGGATCCGGTGCCGTGGCTGACCCCCGTTTGAGCTTGTTTTTGTAAGACTCTGGCAAGTTTACTTGCTATGGAGGGGGGGGGGGGGGGGGGGTTGCAGCTGAAGCAAGCCCGGGGGCGGGGGCGCGGAAATCACGCAAGTCGACAGGCACCTTGGCAGCTAGTATTCACTTGAATCACTTGCAGAGGTGCGAGGGGGGGGGGGGGGGCGAACGCCATGCAAGTAAACTTGCCTGAATCCAAAAAAAAAAGCTCTTTGCATTGACCCCCGTCTCGAGGCTCCCGACCCCTTCCCCCCCTCCCACTCTGGCACGGAGGGAGAACCCCTCCGAGAGGTCGCCCCCCGGCCCGAGAGGGGTCTGGGAGGGGGCGCCGACGAAACCATTCCGAGTGTGGGGCGGCTCCGGCTGGGCGGCTCGGCGGATGAGGGGGAGGGGGATGGAGTAGGAGGAGGAGGGGGAGGGGGAGGAGGGGGGGAGGGGGGGAGGGGAGGCGGAGGAAGAGGAGGAGGAGGGGGAGGAGGAGGAGGAGGAGGAGCAGGAGGAGGAGGAGGAGGAGGAGCCCCCGAGGGAGGCGGGCCCTTCTCCCAGGGCCGGCGCGTCACCCTCGGTCGCCTTCTGGCGGCCACCGGGGGGGCCCTGGGAGGCGGGAGCCGGCGAGCCGGCCCCAAAACCTCCTGCCGTCAGGACCCCCTGACTTCGGGGCGACTCTCAAGGGGCCCTGGGACACACCAACAAACACACACACACACACAAACAAACAAACACACACACACACAACTGACAAGATTCCTCATCTGTTCTTGCATGTTCTGGGTTTTGGCTGTGCTTCCCCCCCCCCCTCCCATATTTTTGCACATCTTCCGGGGGATGGACGATTAATTGTGTCTGTGTGTCTTTTTTCCCCTCCTGAGACTCCCGCCCCGTCATCGCCGAAGATGCAACGCACATTCCGCCCAAGGCCGCCGCTGCGGCAGGCGCCTCCGTGGGCCCCGCGGAGGGCGCCCGCAGGAATCGCGACGGGCTCCCCGCGGGGCCTGCCACATGTGTCACTCAGACTAGGGGGGGGGCTGGAAAGCAGATGACAAATAGCCCTACGACTCATACTCATCCGCCTCCTCCTCCTCCTCCTCCTCCTCCTCCTCCTCCTCCTCGTCCTCCTCCATTTTTTCATGTTCGACGAACGTGAGAAACTAGTCTGTCGTGCTCCTGCATGTGCGGAACGGAAATGTAAAAACCGACTCGGGGCACTGTACCTTGCGGGCGCCACTCAAAATGGGAGAACAAGAGCGCAGGAAACGAAAAGAAGAGAGAATAGGCCCCCGCAAGGCAGAGGTCGACACTCACCTTAGTGGATGCAATCCTCCTCCTCCTCCTCCTCCTTCTCCTCCTCCTCCTACTCCTCCTCCTCCTCCGCCTCCCCCTCCTCCCCCTCCGTCCCTCTGGCCCGCTTCTGAAATCTCTTGAGCTCGTCAAACTTCTGGCTCCGGTCCTCAATATTCCGCGGTGTGAGGCCGAAGCGCGGAGCGAGCTGCTACTTAGTTCATCGCTCTCCCCCCAAACCCCCCATTCGCCCAACTCCCTGAGAGGCTTGAGAGGCGAACCGTTGGAGCGGGCAGCCAGCTCGAGGTCAAATGGAAAGGCTGGACGGGACTCTCCGATTGTCCACCCTCTGTACCAGGGGGCCCAGCCTGGGAAGCACCGCTGACTGGCCCCGACGGCGAAGCGCATCTGAGAAGGGTGCCTCCTTCTCCTCCTCCTCCTCCTTCACCTACTCCTCTCTCTCCACTCCTCTCGCCCTGCTTCACGTGGAATTGGGATGGAGGCGGTCGACACTACTCGTGCGCTTCTGGGAGGGACGGGGCGGCGAGGGCTCGGGCCCTCCCACGGGTGCGGCGGATGGGCCACGCGTGCGACCAAAACTTCATGTGCTCAAGCGGCACGGCGATCCGCGTGGCGCGTCCACGAGACTCCTTTGTCTCTCGTCTCTCCACCTCTCCTCTCACTCCCTCTACCTCCCCTCCTCTCCACTCCTCCTCCACTCCTCTCCCTGCTCCCCTCTCTCCCTCTCCTCCTCTCTCCCTCCTCCTCCTCCTTCTCTCTCCCTCCTCCCTCTCCCTCCTCCCTCTCCATCTCTCTCTCCTCTCACCTCTCCCTCTCTCCTCTCTCTCCCTTTATCTTTCTCTCTCCTTCTCCTCTGACCTTCTCTCTCTCTCCGCCCTCTCCGGCCCTCCTCCGCCCTCCTCCGCCTCCTCACCTTCCATTTCTCCTCTCCTCTCCTTTCCTCTTCTCTCTCCTCCTACTCCTCCTCTCTCCGCCACCCTCCGCCTCCTCGCCCTCTCGCCCTCTCTTCCATCTCTCTGCTTCTCCTCTCTCTTTTTCTCCATCCTCTCTCCTCCTCTCTACTCACTTCTCTCCTCCTCGTCCTGTCTGATCGTCTCGTCCTCGTCTCGTCTCGTCCTGTCCTCGTCTCGTCTTCGTCCTGTCCTCGTCCTCGTCTCGTCCGCTCCTCCTCCTCTCCTCCTCCTCCTCCTCCTCTCCCTTGGTTTTTCCTCCTCCTCCTCATCCTCCTTCCACTCTTCCTCTCCTCTCCCTCCTCTCCCCTTACTCCCGCTCCTCCTCCTTCATTTAACTGGTCTGCGGCCCTTGCCGTTCCAAGCGAGGGGCGACTTCGGAGATTGGCTGACGTGATGTCTGACCTGCTTTGGACTCAGGAGCCGCACGCCTCACGGAACGACGCAACGCCGATTAAAAAAGGACGACGAGAACAACGTGCCGCTGCGAGTGCGCTTCTGGTGAGGCCTCGGGGCAGAGGATCAGATCCTTTCCTCGTTCTCCTGCTGCTGCTGCTGCTGCTGCTGCTTCCCCTATTCCTCCTTTCCATGGGGCCTAACTATTGTGTACTTCATGCTCCGATGCTGATTCGCACATGCTACAAAATCTGAACATGCGACTTCCCCATGCGAACATCAATAGCTCTATCGCTGTGGCCATTTCTCTTTCCTCTGCCTTGCACCCCGTCCTCCTTCCTCCATCAAATCATGGACTCCCCACCATCACCCGACCAGGCTGGGATGACCGTCACTGCAAGATCAAAGAACTATTCGGAATATCCCAGGGCGACCCGCTTGCCCTCTATGGCCAAATTCTTCATCAAGGCATTCAGCGCCGTCTTGGACAATCTGTACGAATACCAACCTCCGCCGTGCGCTCAAAGGAGCCGTGTCGAATCAAATCGAACGTCGAATTGGACCCAGACCCTCAACATCGCGAGGGTGTCAACACATGATCCGCAGACCAACCACCCCCTTCCGGGGGATCCCCTTGCCATTTTGAGCCGTTTGATTGACGGCTTCGGGGCAAAATAGCCGCCCTCGGCTGCACAGAAGGGCGCCAAACCTATAGTTTGCTTTGTTGTTGACACGCTGGAGGTATGGGGACCCATGCCAGGATGCTGCAGAGGGCCCCTGCCCATGCTCTCGCCTGCATCCTAGACATCCGAATCGGCCCGTCCGCCCTCGCTCAAACGGCTCCACCCATGCCATCCCCAGAAACACCCAAAGGCAGGAGAGCCCAGAATCGAATCGATAAGTCGGATCGGCGATCGAAATGAATCGGATCGGCGGAAATCGGCAGCCGAGTCGGGAAAAGTCGAATCGGCAGACATCGGCAGGCTAGTAGACCTCCAATAAGAAATCGGAGCCCAAGTCGGAATCTCAAGTCGAATCGAATCGGAATCGGAAGCCATCGAAATCGAATCGAATCGAATCGGAGGAATCGAAACGAGCCCTGCAAAGGGGCAATTGAGACGTCCAAACCGTCGCCCTCGGCCTCCTGTCGACGCAGGTCGGGCCAGACCGCCGACTGGCGTGCGTGATCTCCCACAAAAGAGTCCACAGCCAGGCCACACTAACTGTTCAATGCTGTGCTGCTCTAGATCGCCCAGTGCGAGGGCACCCAGAGCTCGCTCCTCTGATTTCAGGGCAAGAGACGCTTAAAGAGAAAAGACAACGCTTCCCAATGATCCCCCTACTTCACCGAATTCTCTAAAGTTGCCATACAGTATCCACGTCCCGGCTGGGAAATATTGCCCCCATTCCCTCTCGAGAGACCAGGCAAAGCCTGCGTGTGCGGAACATCCCTGCCTCTCAGGATCGACTAATTCACTCCTCCTCCTCCTCCCCCTCTTCCTCCTCCTCCGCCTACTGCCTCCTCCTCCTCCTCCTCCTCCTCCTCCTCCTCCTCCTCCTCCTCCTCCTCCTCCTCCTCCTACTGCCTCCTCCTCCTGCCTCCTCCTCCTCCCCCTCCTCCTCAGCTCCTCCCCGTGCTCCTCCTCCTCCTCGCCCGACTTCCCAAGACCTCCGATGCCCTGCTCGCTGCACGGGGGGGGGCCCCTGGAGCCCTCTCTCGAACGGGCTCTCCGTGGGGGCCAGCCTGCGGCCCAGCTCCTCCCCTCGGCGGCCCTGTGGCCCGGCGAGAGGACCCAGACTCGAGGCGACGCAGGTCGGACCGGCGATCGGAAGCAAGCAGCTCTCGAGGGGCCCTGGGACACACACATGAGCACACACACACAAATAGCAGGATTCCCCATGTGTTCCCATATGTTCTGGGTGTTTGTACTCCAGACTTCATAATAAAAGGGAGGGGGTCTGGACCCTCCAAGACAAGCCATTCCAGACCCCCCCCCGTGGGAGAACCCTCCAAAACATCGTCCCCAGACCCCCCCGGGCCCTCCAAGATAGCCTGGAAGAGACCCCCCCCCCGAAATGAGACCCCCCTCCTTTTATTACGAAACTGGAGTACCCACACACACACACACGCACACTTCCCCTATTTTCCACTATTTTCTGGGGAATCGACAACTAATTGTGTCTGTATGTCTTTTCCCTCCTGAAGATCGACGGACATCGGCAGCCGAGTCGGGAAAAGTCGAATCAGCAAACATCGGCAGATGGAGAAATCGAATCCCGACTCGGAATCCCAAGTCGAATCGAATCGAAATCGCAAGCCATCGAAATCGGATCAAATCATCGGAGGAGCCGACATGAGCCCTGGGACAGGCGAGGGCCCCATGATGCCGCATAGCGCCAACAAACGACTCCGCCGTGACTGGCTCTGGGTCCAGTGCGGCTCTCTGGCATGGCGCGGGGGCTCCCCGGCCACTTGCAGATTTGGTGCTCGCGCTGTCGGTGCTCTGCTCTCCTGGGGCCTTGCAGCGTCGTCCGCACCTGGCTCCTGCACGTCCGAGCTGCAGAGCTGCCTGCACGCCCTCCTGCGCTCAGCTGCGTTCTCTTGCGCTTCTGGACATCTTGCGCGGGCCTGACGAAGGCTTGAGAGGTCCCTTCCAGTGTCTGGGGTCGGGGCTCCCCGCGCGGATCTCCTGGAGGCCCGCCCCGACTGCTTGGCTCAGCGCTGGACCCCTCCCTCGCGCGCGGAGCGCGCCAGGGGCGCAGGTGCCGCCGAGGGGGGCGGCGGCGCCGCTCTGCGACACCTCCGCGCCGCCGACGGTTGCCGCTCCTGCCGTCGTGCGCCCTCTGCGGTGGAGGCACGAAGGACGAGGCCCCGGAGAGCTCTCGGGGCCCTCTCGGCGCCCGCCGAAGGCTGCCGCGGAAGGGGGAGCCGGAGGGCCGCCGGGGGGGGCGGGCGCCGCGCGGGGCCCGCACGCGGTGCGGGACGAGTGGCCGCCGCTGTGGCCCCTGGGGAGGCATTGGACGACTGGTAGCCAGTCGAAGGGCCACGACACATGAGGGGGGGGGGCAGCTCAGGGGGGGAAGCATCGACCTGGAATCGGCGATGCATCGCCGACGGATCGGCGATAGGCCACCCCTCTCCTCTTCGGCTACGTGACCTCTGGTGCGCGGCCTGCAGGATCGTCGCGTGCGACGCGATCGTGTCAATAATCGGCGTTTCGATATTGCATTGGGCGGAAGGGGGGGAGGTGGAGGGTCTGGCTCTGGACCTCTGCTCGGTGCGGCTATTTGGAACCGTGCGTCCTCTGGGGGAAGACTCCACATGCTTGAAACAGGCGCCAAAAACAGGCAGACCTACTCCACGGAAGGTGAGGGGGAGGGGCGGGGGGGCGAGGGTCACTCTCTCGCGTGTGGCCGGCCTGGACGGCCCCGGGCCTGCTGCCACCGCTCGGGGGGACTCGGGCACCCCCAGACGATCCAAGGCGAGGCATCCAGGAACATCATTTTTGCGTCGGCGGCTAGGCAGAGGGACTGCGCTGGCGAGCAAAGCAAAACGAGGTGCGCTGGGCGAATTCAGCCACCACGCAGGGGGAGGAAGGAGAACGACAAGGCGCTGGCTGGGGAGAGAGACAAGGAGATGAGGCTGGGCCCGCTCAGAGCAGCCATCCAAGAACACCAGGAACACCAGAAAACATCGATCGATGACCAGAGAACACCCAGAGCCCCAGAAACTGGCCTGGTCCACGGCGCTAGCCGCCGCCGACGCGCTCGAGAGCTGGCGGGGCGCGCCGCGCTGTGGGCGTACAGAGACAGCGGGAAGGAAGGAGGGCGGCCGCAGAGGAGAAGACGGGAAGGAAGAGGAGGGGGAGAAGGAGCAGGAGAAGGAGGAGGAGGAGGAGGAGGAGGAGAAGGGAGGGAGGAGGAGGAGGAGAGGAGGAGGAGGAGCAGGGGAGCGAGGAGGAGAAACAGGGGGAGGAGCAGCAGGAGGAGGAGGAGCAGGAGGAGGAGGAGGAGCAGGAGGAGGAGGAGAAGGAGGAGGAGCAGGAGGAGGAGGAGCAGGGGGACGAGGAGGAGGAGAAACAGGAGGAGGAGGAGCAGAGGGAGGAGAGACAAATGGGACACAGGAGGCCTCAGGCGCAGAGGGCCTATGTCCTGAGGAGCGCGCGCGCGGCGGCCCCGGGCGTGACAGCCTCGGGGGGCCGCCGCGGCGGGCGGGCCCTTGGCCTGGCTCTCCGGCCACGGCCTGGGCCTCCGGCGAGTGCGCGGGAGGATCTGGGCTTAGGTCGGGCACGTCCTCCAAGAGGCGGATTTCGGACAACATAATCATATGTGTATATATATGTACATATACATCCACGTCTATATATATATATATAGAGAGAGAGAGAGAGAGAGCGATATTCAGAACTTGTCAAAAGTAGTCGAAGAATCGCCCCCAGACTGCACTGTTAATTGGTTCTGAACACTCCTCCTGCAGAGGGACCTGCCCGATGTAAACCTGGGCACCCCCAGACCCAGAGCGCTCTCGGCGAGGCGCAACGGCCAGAGCGCACCAAGGCAGGAGGGTCTCCATTCGACGCACAGAGACACACCAGCACTAGATATGTCCTCTTCGGAGGCCTGCGCCCGACCCGAACATGTGGCACGGCCATCTTGTAGTGTGTCGGCTCCCGAGCGGTACGGAGAAGTCGGGCCTGTCCCCCTACAGGGGGATTTTCGACGCAGGATAAAAAAAACCAAACAAAATAATCAAAGCATATTCCAAAAATAGTCTGGGGACTATTTTGGGGTATGTTTTGACCTTTTTGGGGCATTTTGGATGTATTTTTCTATTTTTCGTCGAAAATCCCCTTGTAGGGGGACAGGCCCGACTTAAGCATAGCCATCTTGTGGCGTGTCGTCTCCCGAGCGGTGCGGCCAAAAAGCGCCCGCCACGACGCATGTACTATAAGATTTCTCGGTGCGCGCGTCGCCCCTGGGGGGGCCACGCACACATATCGGGCCGGGCGAAAGGGGAGGATAGCAAAGGGGGGGTTTGAGAATCAGCTCACGTAGCTAATTTTCCCGGCGCCTCCAGGCGCCGGGAGGCGCCCATGTATTGAGGAATGGGCCCGGCGGCGGGGCCGAAATCAGCTGCATGCAGCAGATTTCGTAACCCCCCCTTTCCCTATCCCCCCCTTCCGTTCGGCCCGAACATAGTATTAGTATGTTGGGGTGCCGCCGACCTCCAGGAACACCAGACACACCAGAAACAAGACAGCGAAATCCATATGGAAAACGAAGCACAGGAACAACAGAAAACATGATTCAGGGGCGTCCAGGAGGGGGGCGTCCAAGCGGGGGTGGCGCAAACCATGGCCGGCGGCATGTTCGCGGCCCGGGGGGGGGGCCAGGGACGTACTGAAACAAGAAGAGGCGCCATGAAATATCTGGAGGTATCATGGCCCTCGCCATGATATCCACACGCCCCTCATCATCACACCCCTCCCTGCCGCCACCGAAAGATGCACCCGCCGGGAGGAGAGTCCTTCGCGCCAGGCCTGCTCGTGGGGCTGGTCGGCGATCTGCCGACACGGTTCAGTCCAAACCAGTCGGGCCTTGCAAGATCCTGCGAGACATCCTGCAGGATCCTGCAGGATCCTACGCCCCAGCAAAGGTCAGTGCCTCCTCCTCCTCCTCCTCCTCCTCCTGCAGGATCCGGCGCCCTGGCTGAACCCCGTGAGGCCGCGGGGGAGGCCAAGGCCAAGAAGCTCCAGCGCGCCACCCAGTGCTGGGGGTTCCCCCGTGGGCCCGCGCCAAGACCACTCCAGCGAATGGTCACTCTTGCGTGTGCAGTGCGGGCGCGGCCGCAAGAAAAACCCTCGCATGAAAGCCAACCCTGAAAACCCGCGCGCGAGATGCACCTGAGGGGACACCTGGAGCACCCTGAACGCAGCAGCTTCTTCGACGGCTTTGGGAAGCCACCGCGCAGCGCGCGAAGCGAAGAAACCCAGGACACCCTGACGAAAAGCAGATGGTTTCTTAATGCGCGCCACTACTGTAGTCCAGAGGGCTCCTGAATGGGGTCGGAGTAGATGGATCACCGATGTATCACCGATGTCGCCGATGCATCGACGATACATCGGCGATGTATCGACGACACTGCGCGATCCTCCGACCCCGTCTACTCCGACACCACACTAACTAGGAGGCCTAGAGGGAGGCTGGAAAAAATGGATTGGGAATTGTGTCAAAATCGACGTGGCCAGGCTCGGAAAAACCAGCAACGGCTGCGACGAGCAAGAAGCAAATGGGATGAGGTCGCCAGGGCTGGAAAAAGTAAACGGAAACTTGCCAAGGGTGAAAAGAATGGAAGGGCTGGCCCCAACCAATTTTTTGTGTTCTCTCTGTTGACATTGACCCCCGTCCCTTGCGCCCCGAGCTGGCGCCACGTTGAAGCCTCCTCCTCCTCCTCCTCCTCCTCCTCCTCCTCTTCCTCCTCCTCCTCGTCCTCCTCCTCCTCCTCCTCCTCCTCCTCCTCCTCCTCCTCCTCCTCCTCCTCCTCCCCCCTCGAGCCCCGAGCCGGCGCCGCGTTGAGGCCTCCCGCCTGGTTCGTCCCGACGGAGCCCACGCCGGCGCCCACGGCCACGACCTGCGGCGGGGGCGGCGCGCCGCGGCGCCGCGGCTTCGCGCCCCGCGGCACGCCCGAGGCCGGGCGGCGCACGGAGACGGGCGGGGGGGCTGGTAAGGAGGGGTGCGAGAGAGCCTGATTTTTTGGACTCTGGCAGGTTTACTTGCATGGACGGGGGGGGGGGGCTGAGCCTGAAGCAAGCTCGGGGGGGGGGGCGCGGAAACCACGCAAGTCGAGAGGCACTTGCACGCTGGTATTCGCTTGAGGAGGGGCGAGGGGGGGGGGGGGGCGGACGCCACACAAGTAAACTTCCCCGAATCCAAAAACAAACAGGCTCAGAGTAATTTGGACGCCCGACATGGGTACCGAAAAAATGAGTACGATGCCACACAACAAATGCTGTCCCACACCAGCAGCGGCCGCTGTTGGGCAGGCGGCCTCCTGTCTCGAATGTGCACTGGCCGCGGCGGCGCCGACAGCGAGTCCTGTTCAAAATGAACAGGAACTGCTGTTGGGCATTGTGCCCATTCTTTCCGTACCCATGTCGGGCGTCCAAAAGTAAGATTGCGACCGCATGGGCTACGCAACCGAACGGGGTCGTCTGCGCCGGCGTTCGCGCGCAAGCTGCCCGCGCGGGGTCGCGCGTAAGCGCCCAGGTCTCCACTGTGACTTGCCGCGCTGATGGCCCGCGTAAGCCTTCGCGCAGGGTCGCTGTCATCTCGCGCAAGGCCCGTTTTCGATCGTCGCCCAGATGATCATCTCAATGCTGCTGCCCAACACGAGCAAGCATCTTCAATGACACGCCTGATTGCGTCGAGGTGCCTGCTCTGGTTTGCTCTGGACCTCTGGCCCGAAACATTGGGGGATGCGGCACAAATGCTCAGGCCTGTCAAGTGTGAGCCGAGGGGTATAAACATACGAAGCTGGTATTACCCATAGAAATCGCAACCGACCACAGCTTTATACCCCCTTGGAACTGAAAAGTAATGGTTGGGATGGGCCGCCCCACCAGCAATATGTAAACAGGCCCCTGGCAATATAACCAAATCGCGCCATTATAGTTGACGGGAACGAAGCACGGGGTCCTGAACGATTCGGTCCTCTTCGCGAGCGTGGCTGGCCCCCATTTCTGGAGCATCTGCGCCCCGTCTCGTCCACCGAGTGAGTAAACGCAAAAAGGGCGAGAGAGGCAGCAGCAGCAGGGGGAGGGGCGGACGACATTGTTTCCTGAGGGTCTCCGTCTTCTGCAGCCATCGCGTCGAAGGTCGCCATGAGAATCCCCATTCGGACCAGCCGAGATTTTCTCTCATGTAACAGTACCCTGCAACAGACCCCTTCATCCAAGCGAGCCTCGGCAGCGGCCTGGCCTTCGAGTTCGTCAGCGATCACGTTGCAAGCGACAAGCCATCGAGCTGTCCTCCCAGCGACAGCGTCGGCTGCGGAAAGCTGGGACCTGGTGGTGAAAACAGCTGGGGTGCAGTCGCCAGCGCGAGCACGCCGCAGCAGGCCAAGCGCGGCCCACAAGTCGGCGTCCTCGCCACTGGGCTCGTCGCGCCTGCGCGCGTACCACCCTATCATAACTGACTCACAGTCTGGAACAAAGCAAGTGGATCCCGTGGTTGGCCAAACCGCGAAAACCAGGGCCCCGCAGCGCGCCGCGTGCCACCTGCTGTCTGCGCCCTGCGAGCGGACCTCCGACGGTCGAAACAAGACAGACGTGCGGCTCTAAAGCATGAGAAGAGACGAGGCCTATGCCGACCCTGCTGGAAAAAGCCTGCTATGGGTGCCGGGGCCTCCGCTAGCGTCGCCCAAAGCAAGAGGGGCGCCTCCCCCGCGCCGCCCGCAGCGCGGCCTGTGGTCAACTGCTCGTTGCAGAACCCCTCAGTACCAATCCCAGACTCCACATCTGGCGGCGCTGGGACTGCCGCACAGGGCGATGGCATGAGGCCGCGTAGCCAGAAGCCCCGGACTATGTCCGACTACACCAGAGCCTCCGCCACCAACTCATCCGAGTCCACATGCGCCGCCGTGTCGGCGCTGGTCTCGCATGTCCGAATGCGCCGCAATGGGGTCTCGTCTGCTTTGCCGCAGCGCGGGCACTTGGCAGAGCCCGGGCATCACTCGATCTCGCCCCTACTTCTCGCCCGGGGCCAGCGCCCACCGACGGCGCGCATCGTCGTGGCTCCCGACAAGCGGTGGCCGTGCACTGGCGCGACCGCAGCTGCTGGGGGAGAACCTTGCACGAGGTGCCTTCGACTCCCTGCTTGAGCCCAGAGCCGCAGATGTGCTTGCTAGCGCCCTGTCGCAGCTGGTGACTTCGGGTTTCTCTCTGATGACAGATAGAAAAATATGGCGCCTGTCAGAAGCTGCGATTCCCGCATGCAGATCACCATGAACTTGCCATGTATCTCCCGCTGCTGGACGACTGGGCGGCAGATCCTATGTCGTGGCCTGCTGCGAAGACCAGCCAGCCTCAAGGAGGTTAAAATCGCGGCCGCAATGGGCCCATGGGCGCGACCAACGCGCTGAACTTCGGGAAGGCCGGCCAGGTCCTGAAAGAGACGGCCCCACGCCTGCCAAGCCCATTTAACTCCCTGGCTGGAGGAGCAAGTGACGACATATTTGGACGCGACGTTCAACTTCATAGCTTCCAGCTCGTCGCAGGAGTCGGCGACGCCAGCGGCCGGCTGAGATCCAACTGCAGCCCTCGACCCCCGAGCTGACCCAGCCAGGCCATCAGTCCACGTCCGATGCCCCGTCTGAGGATGCGCCACCGCGATGGTGGCTGTTTTACATACATGTGGCATAGCTTTGCCGCAGCGAGCGCCTCGCCTCAGGCCCTGGGCCGCGCCCGGCGCGGCGTGGAAGACTCGGGCGGAGGCCGCGAGTTCACCTAGGGCGCGCGCAGCCACGCGCGGCGGCATCTGCAGGAATTTAAGCTGGAGCAACGGGGGGGGCACGAAAGGGGGGCGGCAGTAAGTGCAATAGTTCGTTTGCCTGAACTATTGAGCGCGAAGTATTGCGAGGGGGCAAGAACTATTGCAAACCGCCTGAACTATTGCGCACGAAACAAGAAGGAGCAGCACCCGCGCGGAACTATTGCATCCACGCCGCAAACTACTGCATCCAAGCACCAACTTTGGCATGAACTATTGCGCCTACCCCGGCCCCCCCACTTGCGTTCCCCCCATTACTCCGGCTCAGAAAGAAGGGCGGCGCCCTCGGCGGAAAGCCGAGCGCCAGCGCGCGCGCGGCCGGCCCTGGCCACTCGATGGCATCGTGCAGCGACTCAGTGTCCGGCGGCGCATCGCCACTGGCCACGCCGACGCGGTGGTTGACCTCCTGGTCGATCGCCCGGATGGCAGCCCCGCGAAGACTGGAGTTCCCGCGAACTGCCGCGCCCCGCGAAGCCTCGCCTGCAGCCGACCAGCCGCGCGCCGGCGGCTCGCGGACCAGGCCCCGCAGACGCCCGACGATAGACGCAGGGCCAACGACGCGACCGCCACTTGTCTTCCTCGGCAACGCGCGGCCCAAGAAGAGAGCATGTGAAGGAGCCCTGGGGCACGAATACATACACATGAAAAGATTCCCCCAATATGTCCATATGTTCTCGGTTTTTGCATCCCCCCATTCCCAATATTTTCCTATATTTCCTATGGAATCGACGATTAAATGTGTCCGTGCATTGTTTTCCTTCCTGAACTTGTGCTGGCCATGTCAGATACGGCTCGCGCGCCTGGAAACAAAGTCGCCAACTCTGCCGGCGGCCTCGCGGGGCGGCGCTCGAAGTCGGCAGGGCTCAGCGCGAATCTTTTGAAACAAAAAAAAAACAAGCCCTTTGGGGTCGGCGACGGCGGTCTCGGGCGCTGGGCCGTCGTCGGCCTCGCCCCTGATCGCATTCATCCTCGTCGAGCTCCTTCGGCGACCGCAGATCGCGCCAGCGCTCGGCCTCGTGATCCACGACGCCCCGCGGGCGACGTGAGACTTCCTTCCCGCGGTCGAGCCCAGGGCAGGTGGGTTCCGCTAGTTGAGGGGGCGATGGGGGTGCCAAATGGCCTCATCTTGCTCCGTGACTTCACGAAGCTCGTGGATGCGTTGCTGCGCGGCCCTCCTTTGCGCTCTGCCCGTCGCGCGCTCGGAGGAGCCCTCGTAGCTCGCAAGAACAGAAATCGGCATGGTTGGTACCTGCCGTTCTGACGACGCGCCCCAAATCCTCCCGAAGTGGACCTTTGGTAGCCATGGGCATCCTCCGCGCATTCTCTGGCCGTTCGCCGAGGCGCCACATGCGCGACGCACTGCGACGCCCTTGCCGCTTCGCCCCATTGTTCCTGGACCTGTGGCGGAGCAGCCCGCAAAGACGCGCGCGCAACGGCGCAGCTGAATCCGCTGCCCGCTGGCCCGCTCGCGCAGCGGCGCCCATCGCGCCTTCGCCGGCATCCTGACAGCCGCGACGGCGCAGCGCAGACACTCGGCCTGCGCGGGCCAGGAAGGCCACTCCACGACGCGAGGCAACTGCGGGATCGACAGCAGACACCCAAAATGCGCAATGACATGATAGAACTTCGAACTGGGGCGGCTTCAGCCCAATGGCCACGGATAGGCGCAGAGCAGGGGCAAGAGACTGCAGAGAACAAGGTCCAGGAGCGAAGCCAATCTCTCTCTCTCTCTCTCTCTCTCTCTCTCTCTCTCTCTCTCTCTCTCTCTCCTGCACTTGCCCCAGAGCCCAGCAGGGATGGCACGGGGCGGGACGCCACCCAAAGCGTCCTCTTCCAGCCTGGGCGCCGAGGGGCCTCCACCAAGGGATTCCAGAGCACGCGGCTGCGGATGGCCAATGGCGGAGGCAGGGGCGCTGACGGGCCGCATCCGGGACTGCCTGGCAATCGCAGGCGCGCCCTGAGAAACCTCGCGAGACTCGCTGGGGGGCCCAGGCTGGGGGCGCAAAACGGGAGGAGCACCAGAGGAGAAGGGGGGAACCAGTGTAGAAATTAAGCCCCTGAGCACACGGGCCCTCCTCACCAGGC